AGCTGTCTCTGGGCCATCTTGGGTCATCTTGAGCGCCTCTTGGGCCGTCTTGGGGCTCTCTCGGACCGCCGTGGGATTCTCTTGGTGAGCCTCTTGGGTCGGCTTGGGGCGATCTTCGGGGATGTTGAGCCGTCGTGGGCGCTGCAAGGGCCCAAAAAGTGGTGTCTGCTAAAAGTGGCGGAACACATGCAGAACTCCTTCAATTGTCGCACCGCGAGCCCTGCTGGGAGTGATCTTAGAGCGCTCCAGGGGCATCTTGGACGATTTGTCGACCGTCTGGAGGCCGTCTTGGGCTATCTTGGAGCCCTTTGAGGCCGTCTGGACGCCATGTTGGCCCATCTTGAGGCCATCCTTAGCCGTATTGGAACCATCTTCGGCCAACTTGGTGGCCGCTTGGACTCGCTTGGGCCGTCTGGGAGGCGCAGTGCCTCCCAAGAGGCCCTCCTGGCGTTCCCCCCCTGGCTTTGCCACGAATGGCACCTTCCACTCGCTGCTCCTGGTGTTAGATAGATGACGTCGGCCTTCAACTTCTCATCTAGCATCTCGCAGAGCAGCGAGAGGGCCTGCTGCTCTTGCCCGCATTTCTCGCACGCGCTGATGCCAACGGTGCAACTGAGCAGTATGTACACATGGGTGGAGTCCGCAATAAACTACTGCTGAGGGTTCGTGATTATGCCGCCATTTGCTGCTGCTGCTGCTGCTGCTGCTGCCTGCTGCTGCTGCTTGGAGCTGCTTGCTGCTGCTGCTGCAGCTGCTGCTGCTGCTGCAGCTGCTGCTGCTGCTTCTGGTGATTGCTTCCACTATCTGCTGCTAAGCCCTGCTTCCGCTGGCTCTGCTGCTGGCTTGCTTTTTGTAGGCTGATCCAAGATTAATGCCCTCTTGGGGCCAACTCGAACTGTGTTAGGCCTATGCTACTACTGGCTGCTGGTGCTCTCCCCCCTTGGCCGCTGCTAGCTGTGCTACTGCTGCTGACTCTGCATCTTGCTTGCTGCGATCGCCGGCTCCTCCTGTCCTGATGCCCGAGCGCTGCCTTATTGAAACTAGTTATCTCTGGGCTCTATTCGGCCCCTCTTTCTGGGCGTTACCTCCCTTGGGGCTTCGGGGCGCCCTTCTGGATGTCTTAGGGGCCGCCTGCAGGAGCCTTTGGACCATCTTGCGGCGGCCGCTGACCGTCTTAGAGCAATATTGGGGCCATCTTCTGCGAGGGCCGTCTTGAGGGCGTCTTGTGTCCTCCTGGGGGCTCTTGTGGGCCCAGGCCTCTGGTGCCATTGTCGGAGCCGTTCGGTGCCGAAAAGTGAAGAGTGCAACGAATCTGCGACACCTCAGGATGCAATGCTCTCCTGCGCATCGGGGGCGCAGCGCGGAGCCGTCCTGGGGCCTCCGAGGGACCGCCTTGGCACCGTTTTCGGACGTCGAAGGCTGCTCGGGCGCCTCCTGACTCCTCTCTCGCGCCGTCTGGGGCCCTGAGGGGGCCGCACAGTGCCATCTTGGGCTGTGTGGAGCCCGCCCTGGGCAGCCAGGGCCCGCCCCTGGAAAGACCACTGGGGATCCGCTCCCACGCGCTGCTCCCAGCATTGCTGTACGGATGACGCAAGGCTCCACCTGTGCTCCCCACAATCCGCTGAGAAACAGCAATGCCCGCTGCCACAGCCTGCGTTTTCCGCAAGCGCCAACAGCCGCAATGTAGTTGCCTCCCCTGACTTCCACACGTCGCTGACGTGCATCGTGAAACGACTGTAAGGCAGCGCTCAAGTGTTCTGACCACCCGCAATTCCTTATTACCCCTTTGAGGCCAGAACCACCTGGTCGAGATCATCCCAGAACGAAGCGCATCCAAAGGGATCTCGAGCGACAACGCCGTGAGCCAACATTGCTCGAGCCATTGCCATTGAGTCAAAATGGCTCGCGTCAAAGGAGCAACGCAAGGCGAGGAGGCAAAGGACGAAGAGAACGGGAGAACGAGCACGCGAGTACGATGACGAGGAGGGCAGAGAGGATGAGGTGAAGGGGGAACAAAATGATATTACTACTAGCATCGGAAAGTGTCAACGGTGCCTGCACGATGTGCGTGTTAGGATGATGAACCCAATAAACGCCAAAGCCCAAAGAGGCTGCTGATACAACAAAGAAAAATCCAAGAGGCCCTCCAGGAAGGCCCAAACCAACGAAAACCTCGGGAACCCATTCAATTCCGAAGCATCTTGCGTTTCCCAGGGCCGATGAGGAACCTGAGAGAGCACATGAAGGCCCCAACATCCCCGCCCAGACGGCCCAGAACAGCTCAGGGGCCCGGGACAAAGGTGGTGCCGATATGGCACAAGGGCGCTCGAAAGGCCCCCAAACCCAGTCCCACGAGACTCCCCAGGCAGCCCGGAGTGGTCCAAGACGGCACCACGACAGCCCAAGAGAGCCCCAAGACGGCTCAATAGAGTCCCGACGGGTCCACCCAACGAGCCCCACGGACGCCTAAGGCAGCTCCAAGAAAGCCCGGGTAGGCCCCTCGAGGACCTTCAGCAACAAAAAAAGGGACGTGACACATTACGGATTTCTTGTGGTGCTTGAAGCATCGCCAAACTGAGTGCTGTGCTGGCACGTTGGCGGGATTTGTTGCAGGGGGCTGGATACCTGAAAAAGACCAACAAGAAAAGATAAGGAAGAAGGGGAGCGGGGAGAAGAGAAGCAGGCAGGAGTGCAGCCGGAGGAATAGAAGGAGGAGCCGCAATCACTGCGCCACACTGGACCAGCTCTACCGGTGCAACTTGCGCTCACTCGTCCTTCTCCTCGTTCGGGTCGTCCTCGCCGTCGCCCCACAGCGAGCGCTCGTCCTCCTCCTCATCTTCGTCCTCGGCGATCACCCTCGGCTCCTCCACGGTCACGTCCTCGGTGTCCACGGCCAGATCGCCGCCGCTCACGGCCTCGCCACTGTCAGCGCCACCGAGCACGATGCCCACGAAGGCCGCGTCGGAGGTGGCCACCGTGTCGTCGGGCGCCGCCTCGGCGGCGTTGACCAGAGCGAGCGCTGCCTCGATCTTTGCCAAAGCGGCCTTCGGGTCAGAGTCCTTCTTCCCTGCAACTGCCTCGTTGATCTCCTTGTACTTGGCCTTCTCCGCGTCAGACAGCTTGAACGCCTTCGTGGGCGCATACACGACGGGGCGAACCATTGCTGCGCCCGAGGAGCGAAAGAACTATGGAATCTGGTGTTGCAGCGCCTTTGAGCCTTGAGCCGAAATGGCTGCGGAGAGGGGGAAGAGAAACTAAGGAAGAGCATGGGTAGGATGGCTAGACGGAGGAGGAATGGGGGGAATGACGAGGCGTGCACCGCTGCATGAATCTGCAAGACCTGATACATCTGGGGGAATGGGGAATTTGCCAGGACACATCCACACAAGGCCTTTCCCTCCTCCTACGCATCCTCAATTTCCGCCAGCGCATCGTCGTCATTCTCCTCTTCCGCCTCCACCCCTTTTCCATTCGTCATCCGCCACCTCCTTGTCATCATCACCCGCTTCCTTCCGCTCATCTTCCCGCTAGGGTGTAGACCCCTTTTGCTGCCCACAACAACTAGATTTGCCGATCCCCCACCGTAGAATGTGACGTCCCATCGGAGGCGAACGCCATATTCACCCAGGGTGGGATCGACGGCGCCTGTTCTCCCTCGCAGCGATGGGACGCGGCAGGGAAGAGATGTTGCGAGTGTGCAACTGCAGAGTGATGCTGGGGGGGGATGTCGGAGCGGGCCGGCCGATGGGCGGAATTGACTGGGCACGCTGGTTCGCTCCAACTGTCAGCTCGAACTCCTACCCCTGAGGATCTCTGGAGACTTCTTTTGAAAACAATCGAGCACAACCAACCACTCTGAACCTACTGACACACTCTTCCCGTCTCCTCCTCCTCCTTCGATCAGGTCCGACGAAATCAATCAGGCAGACTTCTAATATCTCCACGCCCTCCTCGGAGGAAAAGAAGGAAGGAAAATGGTTTGTGGAGGGTTCCAGGCACCTTCCTCCCCCCCTTCCACCTTGGGAGGACTCCGATCCTCCTCCTCCTCCTCCTCCTCCTCCTCCTCCGCCTTCTTATCCTCTTCCTCCTCCTCCTCCCTTCCGTTTCGTGTTCCTGCTCCTCCCCCTTTCGATCTGGCCTCTTTTAACTCCAGTGGGAGGGTGAGGCAAAGGGGGAGTAGGAGGAGGAGAAGAAGGGTGAGGGTGAGGAGGGGGAAACAGAGAAGCAGCGATGGAAAGGGGGAGGAAGAGGGCGAAGGAGGAGGCCGTCCATCCTCGTCCATCTCGCCCCACTACTTCTAGGACCCTTGTCATAACCACTTCGAGCCTCTTTGAATTCCTCCCCCTCCTTCCCTCTTCCCTCCCTCCCCGTCCCATGCAACCTAAAGGCCCTTCTACTTTTTCTCCTCCTCCTCCTTCTCCTCCTCGTAATCCTCCGTCTAGCGGGCGGTGAACCATGCAGTCCTCCTCATAATCGTTCTCGCTCCCCTCCTGCCCTGTCTCCCTCAATACTCTCCTTCCGCCTTGCCCGTGCCACTCACCCTCTCATCCCCCACACTCTTAAACCAATTGCAAACACCTTTCAGACCACCTGCCTGAAAACCCAATATGCCCATGCGCCTCCCCAAAACCGCAAACTCCCTACAACTCGGCCCACGACGCCGACGAGACATTGGGCATCGACGACGACGACGACGACGACGACGACGACGACGACGACGACGACGACGACGACGACGACGACGGCGGCGGCGACGACGACGACGACGACGACAGCGGCGGCCGAGGCCGCGACGGCGACCACGACGATTGACCCTCCTCCTCATCCTCGCCCAAATCCTGCTCCTCCGTCCCTCCTCCTCCATCCCCCTCCTCCTCCTCCTCCTCCTCCTCCTCCTCCTCCTCCTCCTCCTCCTCCTCCTCCTCCTCCGCGAAGAGGGCGACGTCGTCCTCGACGAAGACCACGACGGCGGCGGCGTTGGCGGGGACCCCGCCCGAGGCCTCGCTGGGCGGCGTGCCCATCGCTGCGGCGAGCAGCAGCAGGCAGCCGGTGAGCAGCAGCATGGAGAGGAGGCCTGGCGGGCCGCCGCGCGCCCGCCGTCGTCGCCCTCGTCCTCTTTGTGTTAGGGCGCCCATGGGGGCACACGCAAATAGACACGAATGCAAGGATTCCCACTGTGTTCCATATTTGCTTGATTTCGTCTTCCCCTCCAGTTCCCATATTTCCCCATCTTCTCACGGGAATCGGCGATCATTTGTGCCTGTGTCTATTTTCCCCTCCTGAGCTCTGTCAACGGCGGCAGCGGGGGCCACCCAGCTCAAGGATCAAACATGGACTGCGCCAAACAAACCGATGACGGTAAAGGAATCCCACCAGCCCTTTGGGCGTGAGTGGTTTAGAGAGCCCGCTCTGTCCTCACCCCCCCTTCTTCCCCCTCGGGGAGGGGTTTACCCCTCCCCCTCCCCCCTCCCCCTGGGCCTGGAGAGGGACCCCCGCGGGTCGTCAGGGGGGTCAATTTCGACTCCTGGGAGGGCCAAAAAACGACGACCCTCACGAGGATTCTGGCCCCGACGGGGGGAGGGAGTTTGGCCCCTCTCCTCTTCTTTGAAGACAAACACATTGATTTTACTAGGGTTTTGGCCCCATGTTGGCCTTCTGAGGGGGCAGCGCTCATCGTCCTTTATAGCAAAATCATTGATTTTACTAGAGTTTTGGGCTCATTTTGTCTTTCTCAGGGGGCAGCTCTCATTTGCGCTTCAAAGGAGGTCGCAAGAGGCCCCAAAATGGCCCCAAGAGGCCCCCAGGAGGCTCCCAAGAGGCCTCCAAGAGGCCCCCCAGAGGCCCCCAAGCGGCCCCAAGAGGCCCCCAAGAGGCCCCCAAGAGGCCCCCAAGAGGCCCCAAGAGGCCCCAAGAGGCCCCCAAGAGGCCCCCAGGCCCCCAGAGGCCCCCAAGAGGCCCCAAGAGCCTCCAAGAGGCCCCCAAGAGGCCCCACGAGGAGCCCGAACGACTCACACCAGGACGAGGGGCCCGAACGACTCACACCACGAAGAGCCCGAACGACTCACACCACAACGACTCACACCGCCGAACTCACACCACGAGGGCCCGAACGACACACACGAGGAGCGCTTTCTCTCCCTCCTCCTCCGCCTCGTCCTTCTCCCGCTCCCCCCACAAGGAGGATGTACAAGGAGGCGGGAGGAAGGAGGAACAGGGGAGATATGCGGGGCCAAGCGGACACACGCCTGAAAAACACGACTGCCGGCATGCTTCGCAAGAGTTGCTGCTGTGAAATGGGCTGGTGGGGATACGCGAAGCGTAAAGGAATTTGATGGGGAGCCATTGGGTATACGGGATCCAAGGTCTGGAGACCGAGGGAACACAGATTTCGGCTCAAGCCGTTCCTCTCTGCTTTCTCTCGTATTGGGCCCCGAGCGAGGTCGCAGAGTTTCAAGAGCTTGGGCGATGGCTGCGGTCGGTGGCCGAGTCGCCCTCGCGGCGGCCGAGCCGCCTCAGCAGGTTGGAGCGCCCTCGGCGTCCCTCTGGCCAGCGCGTCGGGCCCGCAGGGCTGCCTCGCGTGAAGCGGTCCATGGCAAGCTGGCTGCAGCCCTGGCCCGCGTCGCCTCCCTCGAGGCCGAGCTCGGCGCGCGCCACGAGGGCCACAAGGCGGCGGCGGTGCAGGCGCTGCAGCTTGGGACCCCGCTCGTTCCTCTTGGCCATCTGTACGCTGTGGACCGCGAGGTTATCGAGCGCCTGGCGCTGGCAGTCCCCGTGCCCGTGTCGGTCCTCGCTGCGGCGAGGCATGCGCGGGAGGTGCCCGCCTTCGACATGGCCGCGGCAGGGGTCGGCATCGAGCAGGCTGTTCCCCAGAGCGAGCCCCTCGGCGGCTCGCCAGGGGGGCCTTCCTGGGTTCTCTGCTGGCGCGGATGCCGCCGACCGCAGCGCGCATGGCTCGACAGGGCTCAGCGCGGCGCAGCAGGACGGTCAACAGAGCGCGCCCATCGTCGCCGGGCTTGGCGACTCATCCTCGCTCGCCGCTGCGGCCCCTGCTTTGCCAGCTGCGGGTGTGTGTTCGGCCCTTCGCGTGTGCGCGGGCGCGCGCCGCCGCTGGCCGTCGCCAGGCGGAGTGCGGCCATGCATTGTATTGCGAGGCGGGGAGCCTCCATTGGGCGGATGCGGATGGCCTCGCTCAACCGCCTGCAGCGCGGCGCGCGGAGGGCGACTTCGAGGCGCGCCTACACTAACGGCGACGTGACAGTTGCGTTTGTTGCTCGAAATGCCGCAACGCTCTCGCCGTGGGCTGCTGGAGCGCGCTTCCTCTATAAAAAAACCCTTGCTGAAGCGCATCCGTGTTGTCGGCATGGGCTGCTGTGACACCCTCGCTCGATACACATGGAGCGCTGGATCGGCACCCCGTTTAGAGCTTTAAAGCAAAGTCGGAGGGAGAGGTGTAGGCAGGGCGCGGTGGCTGGGGGCGCTAGCATTGTACTTATGCCTCCTTCTCAGAGATGCTACGCGCGCAGCGAGGACCAAAGCGTGGAGATCACTCCACAGACGCCCCGATAAATACACAAGCGCCATACGCTTCTATTAGCAACCATACTCAAGCGTTTCTAGAACACGCCGCGCATGCAAATCTTCAAAGAGGGAGCGCGTGCAGCGGCAAATGACTTTGAAGAGTGGGCAAACGTACTGCGTGAACACCCCACCCGAACCGACGACATCATATATCAGCAGTCCCCCGTGGCGGACGTGATCAAGCACCGAACGACAAATTTCAACAATTGCGCAACGAGAGGTATACGGTGGATCGCAAAGCTGTGCAATCCGCGTCCGGAAACAAGAGCAGTACCATACAATACCCCGCACAACGGCGGGAAGCAAACCACAGAAAATGTACAAACAAGGGCGCCATCGAAAGCAGTGACAACGACTGGCCGATAATCCTTCTAGGCGTCGACTACAGGCTGTTGCCCTGCTCATTGCTGACATGGTCTCAAGATGCAGGGGCTGAGAAACGGCTAGCCTCAACCCTGTGCGGCTTCCAATGCGACAGACGAGCGCCAGATGACATCAAATTGACACACGTAGCACAACATGTGGCAATCGATGATGTTGCCAAATATATCCGCCGGCCCAAGAAATCAGCGAACGCCAGATTGCAGCAACTGAGAAGCGAGAAGTACACAGTGGCTCACAGAACTATGCAATCCACGTCGGGATTCAATATCAGTGCCGTGCAGTGCCCACACAACGGCGACAAGTAAAGCCACTAACAATCTGCACACACACACACACAAGGGCGCCATCTAACGCTGTCACAGCGACCGGCCGATAGACCTTCTGTACGTCGTCTACAGACGGATGTCCTGCTTATTGATGACACAATCTCGAGACGCAGGGGCCGCGTACAGGCTAAGCTTAACCCTGTGCGGTTTCCGACGCGACAGATGGGCGCCAGGCATCAAGTTGGCACATGTAACACAATATGTGGCAACCGGTGTGGTTGCCAAATCTGTCCGCCACCCCCAGAAATCATGCAGCGAACGACATATTTCAGCAACTAGGTGAGCAGCGAGAGGTATCAAATGGCTCACAAACCTACGCAGTCCACGTCAAGAAACAAGAGCAGTACCGTGCAGTACCCGCACAACGGCAGCAAGAAAGGCACGGTGAATATTAATACAAACTAGGGCACCATCACTAGCTGTGACAACGACAGGCCGATAGACCTTCTTTGCGTCGTCTACAGACTGCTGCCCTGCTTATTGATGACTCGACCTCAAGACGGGAAGGCTGAGTAAAGGCTAAGCTCAACCGGGTGTGGTCCCCGACGCGACAGACCAGCGCCAAGCATCGAATTGGCTTGACACAACATGCGTCAATCGGTGATGTTGCAAAAAGTACCCGCCAGATCCCGGAAATCAGGCCGCGAACGCCAGATTGAGGCGAGAGTTATGCAAGAGCTCACAAGGCTATGAAATCCACGTCGGGAAATAAGAACTGTCCCGTGCAGTACCCGCACAACGGCGGCAAGCACAGCCACCAACAATCTGCACACATAAAGGCACCATCTGCAACTGTGACAGCGACCAGCCGATAGACCTTCTGCGCGTCGCCTACAGACTGGCACCCAGCTTTTTGCTGAGACGGCTTCGAAACGCAATGATTGAGTATCGGCTCAGCTCAACCCGGTGCGGTGTCCGACGCGAAAGACGGGCGCCAGGCATCGAATTGGCCCACGTCACACAACATGTTGCAGTTGATACTGTCGCCAAATCCGCCGATCCGGCGTGTGAGTTTCTGAGAGCGTGGGCTTGAGCTCGCTCAAGCTTCGCTCTGCGGGGGGGGGGACCTCATTTCCGACCTCATTCCGACCGAATTCAGTGCTTTGGGGGGGGGGACCTCATTTCCGACCTAATTCAGTGCTTCCCTTCGCCCCCCCCCCCCTCCCAGAGCGGAACCCCCCATCCCCTGCAGAACGCCCCCTCCCGCTTCCTGCAGCCCAGCCCCCCCCCCCTGCAGAGCGGACCTCGCCCCTGTAGCCCCCCCGCCCCACTGCAGAGCGAACCCCCCCTCCCCCTGAACCCCCCCCTGCAGAGCACCCCCCCCCCTGCAGAGCGGACCTCCTCCCTGCAGCCCTCCCCCCCCCCTGCAGAGCGGATCCCCCTCTCCTCCCCTGCTCCCCCCCCCCCTGCAGAGCAGACCCGCCCTCTGCAGCTCCCCCTCCTCCCAGAGCGGCCCCCCCCCCCTCCTCTTCCTGCAGCCCAGCCCCCCCCGCCGCTGCAGAGCGGACCCCGCTCCGTGCACCCCCCCCTGCAGAGCGGACGCTCCCCCCTCCCCCCCACCCCACCCCCCTGCAGAGCGACCCCGCCCCTGTAGCCCCCCGCCCCACTGCAGAGCGACCTCCCCCCCCCTGCAGCCAGCCCCCCCTGCAGAGCCCCCCACCCCTTGCAGAGCGGACCTCCTCCCTGCAGTCCCCCCCCCCCCCCCCCAGAGCGGATCCCTTCCCCCCCTCCCCCCCCCCCCCCCCCCCCCCCCTGCAGAGCAGACCCGCCCTCCTGCGGACACCCC